AAGTGATTGTAATAGTTTTCTATTGCTGCCACAAGAAATGACTAAAAACTTTGTAGTCCAAAATAACACAAATTTATTATCAGACATTTCTATAGTGCTGAAGGCTGACATGAGTCTCACTGGGCTAAAATTCAGATGTTGGAAGAATCCTGGAGGTTGTTGGAGGAAATCTGTTTCCTTGGCTTTTCTAGCTTCCGGAGACAACTGGCATTCTTTGGTTTGGGGTCCCCTTCCTCCATGTTCAAAATCATCAACATAGCATCTCTCTGACCCTGCTTCCCTTATCACACCTTTCTCTGATTCTCTCTTCTGCCTCGCTCTTCCACTTTTAAGCATTCTTGTGATTACATTGGGCCTGTCTGGATAATCTAGGATTTTTTCCCTATCTTATGTAACAACCTTAATTCCATCTTCAGTGCAATGAAACATTTCGTATTCACTGGTTATGAGGATTAAGATGCTGACACCTTTGGAGGGACATTATTCTACTGACCACCATGATTATAGCAATTCACACACCCACCAGCAGCATGTTTCTGTTGCCTCACATCCTTGCCAACATTTGGTCTTGACAGACATCATTTTTGTCCACTCTGATGGGGTGTGAGATGATATCTCTTTTTTTGGTTTAATTTTCATTTCCTTAATTATTCATGAAGCTGAGCACCCCTTTTATATGTTCACAGGTCATTTCCTCTCTCAGGATTTAGCCATTCATATCCTTTGTATATTTTTGATTGGGATGTTTATGTTTTCTTACTGAATTGTAGAAGTTCCTTATTTAATCTAGACACTAATTTTTTATCAGTTTTAAAGTTGCATTCTTAATCTAGTTGATTTTTAAAATTTCCTTACTTTATGGTTTATTTTTTGTTGCTATTGAGAAATGTTTCTGTACCCTAAGTCCATAAAAAGTTTTTTTCTATATGTTCTCCTAAAAGCATTATGATTTTGTTTTCATATTTCTCTTTAATCCATCTGGGATTTACTTTTGTACATATGAGAAAGGGATCTAGTTTTATATATTTTTGTGGTGCTTATTATAAACAATGGTCCCAGATCCATTTGTTAAGTAGTCATCAATTGCTTCCCTTCTGATTTGTAATATCTCTTTCCAAAATAAGGTTTCCCATGTGTCTGGGTCTGTTTCTGGGTATTTATCATACCTTCACGAATTACATATTTTCTTAATTACAATTGACTTTATAATAAATCATTATATCTCACAGGACAAATCTCTTTACCTTCTACTTCAAATTTTTCTTGGTCCTTTTACATAAAATTTACCATTAGTTTGTCAACTTCATTGAAAAACTAGGTTGGAATTTTATTTTTGCCACATTGAATGCATAGACTAATTTGGGACAATTGACTTTGCGAAACTGAGTCTTCTCACTAAAGAACATGATATACTCTTCCATTCATGTAGACTATATTTTTTTACATCTTTCAATAAAGTTTTGTAATATTAGTTTTACTTTACGTATCTTTTATTAAATTGATTTCTAAGTATCCCATATTTGTTGTTGCTATCATAAACAGAAGCTTTTTTCAGAAATGTATTTTCAGTTGTCTCCTGGTATTAAGAAAGCAACTGATTTTTGTGTGTTGACCTTCCACCCAACAAAACTTGTTCAATTCTTTTATTAATAATCTGTCTTTAGAGTCTCTTGAGTTTTTTGCATATGGATAATCAACTCAGAATAATTGATGATAAGTTTGTTTTTCTTCCAACCTTATTCCTTATGTGGTTTATTTTTGTCTTACTTGACTGGTTGGGACGTTCAACTCTTTGATGAATAGAACTAGTGTCCTTGAGTATCCTTTTGTTATTATGAGTGTGTTTCTAAGGATTCACCATTAGGTATGTATATGTTTTTTATAGATTTTTGGTATTTACTTTTTTTTGTTTTTAATCCTCACCCGAGGACATTTTTCCACTTTTTATTCAGATAGAGTGGGTGGGAGAGAGAGGAAGAGAAACATAGATGTGAAAGGGACACATCTAGTGGCTGCCTCCCGCATAACCCAACCAGGGCCGGGGACAAACTGCAACAAAGGTACACGCCCTTAGTGGGAACCAAACCTGGGTCTCTCTGGACCGCAGGCCTATGCTCTAACTGCTGAGCCAAACCAGCCAGGGTGGTATTTACATTTTATCAGTTTAAGTTCCTGTTTCCTAGTTTGAACATACATTTTATTAAATAACTTTTATTAAATAATTCTTCTGTATCTGTTGACATGATTATATGATTTCTCCTTTAAATTAATACTGCAATAAATTAATAGATCTTCTAACATTTAATCAATCTTGAGGTCTTAGAATAAACTCAACTTGGTTATGATTTATTTTTATGCATATGTTGCTGGGTTTGTTTGGCTAATATTTTATTTAGAGTTTTTGCATCTATGTTCTTAAAGGAGACTGGCCTGTCATTTTTCTTTCTTAAACTGTCCTTGACATCATACTTACTAGACATATAAGAAGAATTTAGTGCATTCCTGCACACTCTACTCGCAGAAGAAGCTTGAATAAGATTGCAATGATGAGTTCCTTGAGTGTTTGATTAAACTTGCTTATAAATCCTGGGTGATGCTCTATATATTTCATTAAGTTGAAATTTTTTTCATCATCTTTAATTATTCTCTTTTGTCTTAAAGTCTATTTTTGACTGATAATATAGCCATACTAGCTTTTTTGAATAGCACATGTTTGGTATATTTTCCCTGCCTCCCCCCCAACCCCCCAATCCACCACCCTTTAATTTGTTACTTTCAACATTTTCAGATTAGAATGTTTCACGAATGCCTTATGTAAGTAACATATAGCTGAGGAGTAGAAAAAACACACTTATCTGATAACCCTAGTTTTTTAGCTAGAAAGTTGTTTCAGTAATATTTTTAGTGATTATTGATAAATTTGGATTTATTTTTACTACATTCTGTTGTGCTTTTAATTTACCTTGCTTTGTCTGTTTTTCTTCCTTCACTGCTTTCTATTGAATAGATCAAGTTTTATTGTTTTAATTCTTTCTATTCCTTCTATTTGGACATTCTATTTCTTTTTTATTTTGGTGGTCATGTTTAAAGAGAAACATTCTTTAATTGAAAAAGTAAAATTCATTTCTCTTTATCCTCCTCCTGAACAATGAAGGATTTAAGAATACATTTTGTATTATTTTCTTAGCTTTTGCTTCCAGTTCCTTAATATTCTCTTTAGCTTTGCCTAATTTGCCATTTAATCCAATTTCTTCAGTTTTTTAATTCAATTATTTTTTTAAATTCTAGAAGTTATATTTGGTTCTCTAAAATAATTTACCTAGCCTTTTTCTTTTAATGTCTTTTTCTTTTGTCAGGTTTCCAATTTCTTCTTGTACATCTTAAATAATTTAAACACACTTATTTTCTAGTTTCTAGCTGGTAGATATATATTTTTAAATGAAGTTCTTGGGTAAGGGGTGTCCAATCTTTTTAGGTTTCCGCTGATTGTCATTTATAGTGGATTGTTTCCTAATATGTTGAAATATTTTTCATTGTGAATTTATTTTTACAGTGGCAGATAGCATATATTTAAATCTGGAACGCATGTGAAGGCAGGCCCCAAATCTCAATTTCTTAGGGACTCTGTAGCGTTCCATCAAAGAGAGACATGTTTACTTTTTTTTTTTTTTTTTTTTTTTTTTATCCTCACCCGAGGATATTTTTCCATCTTTTGTACAGATAGAGTGGGAGGGAGAGAGAGAGAGAGAAACATCGACGTGAAGGGACACACCGAGCGGCTGCCACCCACACGACCAACCAGGGCCGGGGACAAACTGCAACCGAAGTACGTGCCCTTAGCGGGAACCGAACCCGGGTCTCTCGGGACCGCGGGCCGACGCTCTAACCGCTGAGCCAAACTGGCCAGGGCGAGACATGTTTACTTTTCATTTTCTGATGCTAGGGCAGAGAATGGAGCTATACCTACCTGAAAGTCTGGCTTTAGGTGAAGGTCTCACTTCTAACTCCCCACCTTGGCCTAAGCTTTGCTCCCACATGGTCACTAACACTTGGTTATTACAAAACTGACAACCCTTCCTCCAGGGGGTCTCCAGCATCAGCTCTTGGGCTTACCTTGTTGGCTTTGGTTCCTTCTCTATCTTTGGACCCTGGATATTTCTCTTATTCCTTGGGGGGGGGGGGGGTGGAGACTTATTTGTACTTTTAAAATGTTTATTATAATTTAAACACATTTCTAGGTGTTTTGTGCAGGAAAGTTTTCAGTTTATATAGACCTCCATATACCGGCAGAAGCAGGAATCACTAAATTAACTTTAAAAACATGATCTTTGACTCTAAGCCTAGTGGAATAATCTAATTTACACATAATATCAGGTTATGAAAAACATACCTGAAACCAGTTTATTCCTTTTCACCAGCTATTTCTCATTTTAGGTTTATCAGTTTTTCTGCATTGTCATTTAAAACGTGTGTTTCTAAAAGTATAGTTGCAACTTCAGAAGAATTAAAGACGGAATAACTAGGAACAGACTTGGCTTCTAGAGCCACACAGATTCTTACTGAGTTGGTTTACTTTGGAATCAGAGAGTAACTTTTCACAGTTTGGACCTGTAAAACTGGTTACAAAGAAAAAGTGAAAAGAGTTTTCTACACATAAAAAGTTGTGAAATAATAAAAGCGCACACAAAACGCTGAAATCCAGATCTTGCTCTCATACCTCTATGCCCACTGAATCATTTCTCCCCCTCCCCGCCCCCCTCCTTTGCATCCCTCAGTGCTACCAATTCAAGTTACAACAGCTAATCCTCAGGGGCACAGTCTTAGCCCAGGACCGCCCCCACTCCCTTTCCCCTCTGACCCTCCTCCAATTAATCTGACTGCAGTGCAAACCTTTGTGGTTTACTCTTGTGCAACCTCCAAGTCGCCCTCGCCCTCCCACCCAGCCCCCTCCCCCTCAAATTCAGGGGAACTCCCGTTATGCAGTGCCACCGGCATTACTCATTCATCCTCATTCAGGCTTCCCCAGCATTTATTAAGGGCTCCGGGCTCCTGCCTTTCACTCTCACTCTTCTGCTCAAACACCGATCACTGGAGAGGCTCTCCCTGGTCCCCTCCCGCCAGCTGTGGGAAGTCTCGGAAGAACTTTGTCTCTCTCAGCAATGCATCTCTACGCGATCGTAGTTTGTGTTCTCTGGTCTGCAGTGTGTGCCGACAACTCCGATGATTATGAGCTCATGTATGTGAATTTGGACAACGAAATAGACAATGGACTCCATCCCACTGAGGACCGTAAGTTCTTTTTAACTCTCTCTCTGCTACTCCTAACTACATATCCACTTCTTTGGGTGTAAAAATTATACGTATACTTTGTAGCTAATGAAACGAGATGAATAGTGCAGTTTGTTTTGCAAAAGAGAGCAGCACTTTAGGAAAGGTTTCAAAAAGTTGTCTCTGACACATACATAATGAGTTGAGCCGTATGAAATCGCCGGCATTTGCCTGTTTTGAGCTACACGAACGGCAATTTCATAGAGTTCAACTTAATATGTGTCTGCATGAATGGTTCCTGTCCTCTTCGAGATATTTACACGCTGTTTCTTCGAGGTGTCCTTTAAAAGTTAACGGGGTGCTGGGATGGGCAGTAATTTGGGAACCAGCCAGGGAGGTCAGCTTTTACAAGGCACACTCAAGGAGGGTCTGGGCGGGTTGGTAATGTGTGTGTCTCCCGCGCCCTAGCCACGCCGTGTGATTGCCGTCGGGAGCATTCCGAGTGGGACAAACTCTTCATCATGCTGGAGGACTCGCAGATGAGGGAGGGCATGCTGCTGCAGGCCACCGACGACGTCCTCCGGGGCGAGCTGCGGGGGCTGCGGGCAGAGCTGGGCCGGCTCAGCGGCAGCCTGGCGAGGCCGTGCGCACCGGCGGCCCCCGCGGAGGCCAGGCTGGCCCCGGCGCTGGATGAGCTGCTGCAGGCGAGCCGCGATGCGGGCCGCAGGCTGGCACGACTGGAGGGCGCCGAGGCGCAGCGCCCGGAGGAGGAGGCGGGGCGCGCCCTGGGCGCAGTGCTGGAGGAGCTGCAGCGGACGCGAGCGGACCTCCGCATGGTGCAGGGCTGGGCGGCCCGCCACTGGCTGCCCGCAGGTAAGGGTGCAGGCCACGCAGGGACACCCCTGCGGCTTTGTTCTCCGAGCGTTTAGGGAAGCCAAGCCAGGCCATCCTCCAGGGGACGCTTTAATGTGGGACACACACACACACACACACACACACACACACACACACCCCTGTTTCTCCACGCATGGCCATAGAGCTCTGGCATACTACACGAGGTGGGAAAACTGGCTTTAAAACATATTCTCCAGTCCCGAGGATCCCCTAAGATAGTTGTGGACGTGACCATCATCGTCTTGAAATAGACAAGGGCCCCTAACTGACACCCGATCCACCAGGCTTCGCAGGGGCGCTATTGGCCAGTTATAACCGTGACCTCTCCAGCGGTCTCCTTTCCCTCCGTTAGGGATTTCCACTTCTTCTAACTTTAGCCTGCCTCTCTCTTTAGGGGAGCTCTGGTTCCCCGTGCTATTTCAGGGCCCAGCCTAATTTTTAGGGACGTTTTTCAATCCCTGGGCCGGCCTTTCCCCCCCTGCTGGTTCTGAGCAAGAGACTTGAGGCTGAATCTGATCTCGTGAGGGGTTAGTGGAATTTCTGAGGGGGCCCAAGCCCCGGGGGTCTGTGGAATTCTCTGGCTACTGGAGGTCCCAGGGTGTGCGTTTTAGAATAAACTGGCCGCTGAGGAGCCAAAATGGAACCATCAATGTAAGAGCCAATTGGTACCTCTGTGCCATCCCTGGGATTTAAGTGGGAGGGGGCGTCAGGGCCAAACAAGGGAGAGGTGGTTCAAACAAGCCGCAATTTGTCAAAGTCCTGTGTGATATTCCATGAACCTCCAAACGCATGTGGGCCTAAATAATACATTTTAAAGATGGTTGAAAGAAATAAAGAGAAGATTGGGAGCCAAGTAACATTCCTTCATAAGTCAAAATTTCTAGGAAATGGTGATGCAACAATTATTTGTGGGCTATATTAGAAAATTAGTGTTCTATAATTGCACTTTTCCCGAGAATCTCAGAAACTGGAAACAATTACAAACAATGCCATCTTTCCCTATATTTCCACTAGAACAACTCTGATTTGATGGAGTATAAGGAAAAATCATAAGCATGTGTGAGAGCACATTTCACTTAAAATTACAGAAACCATACCAGAATATCAGTCTTTCCTAAATATTTGAAGATTGTTTACCAGTACAGAACATATTTTCTTAAATATTAAGTAAGGCTTGGGGGGATCATAATAACAAATATACAATAGATTCTCAATGTAAGTGACAAGGAGACAAATTATAATTCTGTGGCTATATCAATGAGTAAAATTTCTTGTCTTTTGCAATCCAGGTAAAGTCGTTGTACATATAATGTACCTGAAAAACTAAAGAATTGCACTAATTTTCATCTTAACCTCTGCACATTAGAACAGAAGAGGGATGTAGTTCTGAATTCTAAAATGTTAATTTTTATGAAATCCAATAACACATTTACCCACATGCTTTGATTTCCCCTCTCTTGGTTTCCTGCCAGCTTGGCTTCTAAGGGATTTCTAATCATTCTGTTGTTGGTCTCTGAAGAACCTGGTTTTAATTTTGTTTGGTCTTTGATAACATAATCAGGAAAACCTATTAGTTAAAAGCCATTTCAGGAGAGAGTTTCTGACATTTTAAAGAGATATCAAGAGCCTCAATCACTGGTTCCCAAAAGAAACCAGAAAAAACAAAAACAAAAACAAAAAACTGCCAACATGCAGTTCTATTCCCTGAACTCAAATAGCCAGGCAACCTTCAGGGGAAGCTAGGTCTTTGAGAGGCAATGAAGGGATGCTTTGGAATGCAACCCAGACTCTCTGGGCGTATTTAAACAGGAAATCAGTTAATTAGGTTGCAGTGGGCACCCTCTTGAACACTACTTTTCTGAAACATTACAGGAAATATCTTAAATGCCCAGGCATAATGTGATCTCCCCCCCCCCCCCCCCCCCCGCATGATCTTTGTTTGATTTATTTAACACAGCTAGAAAAAAAAAAAAAATGCACCTACCAATTTCATTTGGGGAAAAAAAATCAATGTCTCATTAAAAATTACTTTTTCAAAATCTTCAAAAATTCAAATAATTCAGTGAAAAAGTTAATACCAAAGTGTGACAGAACCAATCTTGTGCTTTAGTAGTGTAGTTACTTTTATAGGATTTTATGATCTCAGTATTTTCTTTGACTATTTATATCTGTTTGATTTTTTTAGTACAGAGCCTAGCCCTTAGCCACTTACTTGCAGCATTTAACTTAGCAGACCACACTTCGCACGGACCTTTGATTCCTCCATGTTCGGTCTATTCACCAGTTAGTCTATAAATGCTCTGCAACTTTACTTTTCAAAGCTATTTTATGGCAGATCGTTTTTAGGTTGTTAGAAAGGGAATGCCTAGTCCTAATTTAGTTCTCATATATGTTCTTTTATACATATATGAGGTCAGCATAAAGTAGAGCTCACCTGATAAAGCTTTTAGCACAGAGTTTCCCAGAGACACCTCAGAGGTCTTAAGTTCAGTGTTTCCAGCTGACTTACCAGTCATGTGGCCTGGAGAGGGACAGAGTGGGGAGTTCACTGAGCTCCCAACCCTCAACTTTGAAGTCTCCTTCTAAGTACCCTTTAGCAGAATTATGCTCTCCACCAATCCCTTGGAAGAATTCACTCTTCCTTAAAGTTTTCTTTTACTGCTTAAATAGTATTTATAAGCATGAGGACAAAGTAAGAGTTTTTTTGTTTTGTTTTGTTTTTTAAACTCATCCAAGGACATTTTTTGCATTTATCTTCAGGTAGAGTGGGAAGGAAAGAGGGAGGAGGAGAGAGAGAGAAACATCAATGTGAGAGAGACATATTGACGTGAGAGAAAACACCAAGTAGTTGCCACCCATACGACCCCAACCAGAGCAGGGACAAACTGTAACCAAGGTACATGTCCTTAACACAACCGAACCTGGGACTCTCTGGTCCACAGGCCAATGCTCTAACTGCTGAGCAAAACTGGCCAGGGCCAAAATAAGAGTTTTTAAAGCATATCCTTTGAATACACAGCTCTTCCTGAGTGCCACATAGTTGTTGCTTACTGACTTGCAGAATATTGGAAGGAGAATGGAAGGAAGAGCCTTTTATGGAAAACAGTAAAGCCTGAAGAGATTAGAGGGCTCATCACAAGCTGCACAGCTTACTAGTAGTACAACCACAAACTGCATTCCAGCTGTCCTAGCCAAATCCAGGGGCTCTTCTCCCATTAGACGGCAATGCAGTGTGCAAGTTAAGGGTGTGGCCTCTGCAGCCAGAGTGCCCAGGTCCAAATCCCAGTTTTACCACTTATAATCTATGTAAATATATCTCAGTTACTTAGCGCTCCGTGACTCAGTTTCTCATCTGCCAAATGGGAATATTAAGACTATCTCTTAGGGTTGATATGAAGACTAAAATAATATATAACGCCCTGGCTGGTTTGGCTCAGTGGTTAGAGCTTCAGCTTGCGGACCAATGAGTCTCGGGTTTGATTCCAATCAAGGGCATGTACCTCAGTTGTGGTTTATCCCCGGCCTGGTCAGGGTCATACAGGAGATAGCCAGTCGATGTGTCTCTCTCACATCAATGTTTCTCTCTCTCTCTCTCTCTCTCTCTCTCTCTCTCTCTCTCTCTCTCTCCCCCCCCTCCCAGTCTATCTGGAGATATATGGAAAAAAAAATATCCTCAGGTAAAGATTAAAAAAAAAAAAAAGACATATAAAGTGTTAAGAACAGTATCTGGTATATAGTGAATACCCAATAAAAATTAGTCATCATTATTATACATTGTTGCTTTTCAAAGGTAGTTTTCTACAAACTTCTCACAGTTTACAAATATCTGAGAACATGTAGTATATTAAAATGTATTCAGCAACAAAATGTCGTCGAGTTTTTGTTTAAAAATGCATATTAACAATGGCTAAACAGGGTGAGCTAGATCCACTGAATTTCCCATGTTTTTGTTCTAGGAGCTTGGTGAAGTCAAGGAGAGGGGAATGAGTTTGACTCTGAGTTCTTAGAAATTATAGTGTCATTGTTTAAAGTTAATGCATAGTGATTCAACAATTTTTTAAAAATAGTTGTAACAGAAAGCTAATCAGGAAGGGAAATAGTTATTAAAACATGATTTTCATTATGTTGTGGGTTTGGACCATTTCTCTGCACGCCTTCTTCTCCATTTAGATGCGTCATTGAATGAGACTATTGGCTATTCTTATTTCCATTTTCTTTGCTCTACAGAGAATATACTTGAGGCCCCTCAGGTCATAATGTGATACTGCAGATAATTTTCATGTGTAGTCATTAAAATGCCCATGCTAAAATATCAAAATACTGGAATCATTTCTCAATGACTTTATATTTTTCTTTCATACTTTTCTTCTTCTCTTGCCACTCTAGGTTGTGAAACAGCGATTTTATTCCCAATGCGTTCCAAGAAGATTTTTGGAAGTGTGCATCCGGCGACACCAGTGAAGCTTGAATCTTTTAGTGCCTGCATTTGGGTCAAAGCCACAGATGTATTAAACAAAACCATCCTGTTTTCCTATGGCACGAAGAGGAATCCATATGAGATCCAGCTGTACCTCAGCTATCAGTCCATGGTGTTCGTGGTGGGTGGAGAGGAGAACAGACTGGTTGCCGATACTGTGACTTCCCTGGGAAGGTGGAGCCATCTGTGCAGCACCTGGAAGTCAGAGAGAGGGCAAACGGCCTTGTGGGTAAACGGTGACCTGGTGGCTACCACTGCTGGGATGGCCACAGGTCATGTTGTTCCCGAGGGTGGAATACTGCAGATTGGCCAAGAAAAGAATGACTGCTGTGTGGGCGGTGGCTTTGATGAAACGTTAGCCTTTTCTGGAAGACTCACAGGCTTCAATATCTGGGATCGTGTTCTCAGCAATGAAGAGATAAGAGAGACCGGCGGAGCAGACTCTTGTCACATCCGGGGAAATGTTGTTGGATGGGGAGTCACAGAGATTCAGCCACATGGAGGAGCTCAGTACGTTTCCTAAGTGTTGTGAAACTCTACTTGAAGCCAAAGAAAGAAACTCACATTTTAAACATACGTCAGTTGGGAAGGTCTAAAACCCTCAATGCATACTAAGAACACTTGAGACTAATGAAGGAGAGAGTGAGATCAGTCTTTATTTATCTTGGCAAAATACTGAATAAACAGTTGAGCGAAGACATTGGAGAAGGCTTTTGGGATATTGTTACTAGACTCGATGCCATGGTGCTTTCAAATTAATGTTGTGTCTTTGTCAGATAAACTCTCAAATAATTAAAAAGGACTGTGTTGTTGAACAGAAGGACAATTGTTTTACTTTTCTATGGTTAATTTTGTTTTGGCCAGAGATGACTTTTACATTGGAAGAATAATGAAATAACGTTTGTTGTCCATTGTTCATTGTTATTGGCATGTACCTTATTATAAAAAAATGATGATGAAATGTATTTATACTACAATGTGACTTAACAAATATAAATGTAGTTTATGTGTTATAATCAAATGTCACTTTTTTGAGAAGATAGTTATATAAGTTATATTGTAAAATGGTTTTGTATTAATTTTATTGACTATTTTTGTAAATAAAATATTTTATAAACCTAGCCCATGTCATGTGATTTTAAATCTAAAAAGGTTTTGGAGCAACTCCACACTTTTCTATTCTCATGTAAAGCAGGCAATTAATTTTCAGATCATAGTCTATTATTTAAATAAAAGAGTTAATATCAGAAACAAACTATGGAATTATTTTAAGCTTTGGCTTTCAATAAATCATAAGGAAGAAATATGATCTTGGCTAAGTCAGTCCATCTCTCTGGGGTAAGTTTTTGCAACTGAGAAATCAAGAAATTGAGAAAATAATGATCTCTAGGTCCCTTCCAATTTGATGATTCTATGAGTGCATACATCTGTCTGTCCTATGTAATGTGAAAAAAGAAAAAAAAGAATTATCTGAGTTCTCCAGATACATATGACACCTAAAGAAACGGCTTAGGCCCTGGCCAGTTTGACTCAGCAGTTAGAGCGTCAGCCTGCAGTCCACAGAGACCCGGGTTCAGTTCCCGCTAAGGGCATGTACCTTGGCTGCAGTTTGTCCCCGGCCCTGGTTGGGTTGTGTGGGTGGCAGCCACTCGATGTGTCCCTTTCACATCGATGTTTCTCTCTCTTTCTCTCTCTTCCTCTCTCTCCTTCCTGCTGTATCTGAATAAAAAATGGAAAAATGTCCTCAGGTGAGGATAAACAAAAAAAAAAAGGAAGAAAGAAATGGCTTAGGACTGTTATTTGGAAGATCTACAAATCTTGAAAAGAAACAATGATTCTTGCCTTTAACAAACATCCCATTCTCTTACTACACAGGGAGGAGGGGACAGTCAAGCTCCTTTACCTGGCAGATGGGGTGGTAACCCACTACCCCATCACTGTTCTCCTGCAGAGGTTATGCAGGGCTGCTAGAACATCACAAAGCTGCTTCTGAATGTCAATGGGAAATCTGGTGGAATCACTGTGATTATGTGTCCACCTAAAGATAGGGCCTGAACAAGCAGAGGTCACATCTTGTTCATGACATTTGGAGAATTGGGCCAGGAGTAATTATCAAGGTTCCTTTTTGCAACTAAATAGCTTGATGTCCTTAGACAAGTTACTTAACTCCTCTGGGTCTTCTCAGGAAAAGGAGGGAGTTGGACTCCATACTTTTTAGCAATAAAATTCTATGAAGCTAGGAATCTTTGAGGATACTCATGGTATCAGTATAGCTTCATCCTACTTGTGAGACTCACAAAACCAGGCTGATGTCTCTCAAAGGAAGTTTCAGTTATGAGGTCATAGGACAGTCTCAGACCCTTGGAGATGACATAATTCAAGATTGTAGGCACAGTGGTCACATGCAAACCCCTGTTTAGCTATCATCTATATGACTTGAATGCTTAGCTGGAAGAAGAAATATTGGACTCAGCCTTAAGCAGAGAGTTAAGAATGCTCTCAATTCTTTTCCACATTTCAGCATGAATTATGTCTGTTCAAGGGAATCAAGATGATGCAAGCCAAGATATATGCAAATACATATGCTGACAAGTTAAATATAAGTGAACTTTACATTTTTTTACAAGAATCATATGTTGAAGGCAGAGAATAAACAAACAGAAGAAAATAAAGTATGTTTGGGTTACAAAAGTAGTAATTTAATATGCTATAGTAGTAAGTCTGGATAGGTGCTTAAAGGACTTTTAATTATCCCCTGATATCCATTTTTCCTCTTTTTTTAAGTAATAGAATTCTGGTTTTAATGACACACAGGGTCACTCAGAATAAACTCTATATTTTGCAGCATTAATTGCATTTGGATGTGGCCATATGACTAAATTCTGGCTGACACTGAAATGTTGAACGCGATTCTCTTTCCCTTTCCCCTTCTCACCGACCGGAATGTGGCAGTGATGGCTGGAATCTCAGTAACCATCTCAGACATGACATCCAGGGTAACAGTGGGGAAGAGGCCTGGGTCTCCGATGGCGTCAGGTTCCCTTGCCAGCCCTGCGCTGTCTTCCCAGGACTTGTACATGAGAGAAAAATGCACTTCTATCTTCTTTAATCCATTATTGATTGATCACCTAATCTAATCCTTATCCAGTAGAGTACTTCTGTTTATTTATTTTTTTATCCTTACCAGAGGACATTTTTGCATTTATCTTCAGATAGAGTGGGAGGGGGAGGGGGAGGGGGAGAAAGAGACAGAGAGAGAAACATCGACATAAGAGAGACACATTGACTGGTTGCCACCCACACGATCCCAACCGGGGCCAGGGACAAACTCAACCATGCCCTTAGCAGGAACCGAACCCGGGTCTCTCTGGTCCATGGGCTGAGCCAAACAGGCCAGGGCACTTCTGCTTAAATTTAAAAGACCATGTACTTTATTCCTCCAAATGTTCACTGCAGTATTACTTACAATCGCCAAGATTTTGAAACAACTCAGGTGTCCATTGAGAGACAAATGGATCAAAAAGATGTTGCATATACTTACAATGGAATATTACTCAGCCATAAAAAGGATGAAAATCTCACCGTTTGAAACAACATGGATGGACCTAGAAGGTATTATGCTAAATGAAGTATGAGACAGAGAAAGACAAATACCAGATGATTTCATTAATATGTGAAATCTAAAAAACAAAACAAAATAATAATCAAAACAAAATAGAAACAAAATGATGATTGCCAGATGTGGGGGTGGGGGAATGGACAAAAAAAAAAAATAAAGAGATTAAGAAGTCTTATAAACTGCCAGTTATAAAATTAGTCACAGGGGTAAAATGTACAGCATAGGGAATATAGCCAATAATATTGTAATAACTACATATGATGCCAGATGGGTACTAGACTTAATGTGATCACTTCATAAGGTATATAAGTGTCTAATTACTATGTGATATACCTAAAACTAACACAATATTGCATGCTGACTATAATTTAAAAAATTTTTTTTAAACTAGACTATACTTAGGAAATACATTTTAGAAATTCTCAGGAAGTTGGTTGACTGATATTTTCTTTTTTACTAATAGTACTTAAAGGGTTTTAGAATACACAGTGACAACAAAATGAGACAGTAAGAAATGTGTAAAACTGAGATTAAATATTTAAAATATATATTAGTATGCTGGCTTAGTTTAGCACATTCATTCATCAAAAATGGTCGCTATGCCCTGGCTGGTTTGGCTCAGCAATTAAAGCGTTGGCCTGCAGTCTAGAAAGACCAGGGTTCGGTTCCCGCGAAGGGCACGTACCTTGGTTGTGGTTTGTCCCTGGCCCTTGTTGGGTCATGCAGGTGGCAACCACTGGATGAGTGCCTTTCGCATCAATGTTTCTCTCTCCCTCCCACACTATCTGAACAAAAAATAGAAAAATGTCCTCGGGTGAGGATAAAAAAAAAAGGTTGCTATAGGCAACATTGTGCAAAATGATTCAAGTTATTAGGAAAAAAAAAACTAATAAATTATACATATATATAAAGAATAAAATATTATATGTGTGTGCTAGTGTGACCAACTGTCCTGGTTTGCCGAGGACTGACCCAGCTTTAGTGCTTAAAGTCCCGAGGCTCAAGACACCCTTCAGCTCCACAGAAATTGTGACAGCTTGTCTCTCTAGTGGATACACATGTAAGTTACTAGAACAACTTTTTCACAGTGAAAATATATGAACAAAACAGAATCAATATATTTTTCTTGTCTATTACAATATAAACTGTTTTTTAAATTAAGTATTAATTCTTTTAAAATACGTTCAGAACCTTTGATTGCTAAGACTTTTAGAGCTTGGTATTTACAATTACTTACAAAGAATTAGATTTGTAAACAAAGAAAAAATTATAACTGCATTTTATTTCATCTTGTTAAAGTTTATATTATGAAGCTCTTCTTTGAGATGCTTACTAAGGCGAAATGTTTTCAGAACTCTCTTAGCCACTTAAGACATCGTACCCATGAAGTTAAAAATCTTGCTCTAAGTAATGTTCATTCAAATATTTCTAAATTCAGTGAACTTAAAAACTCATATTGCTGACACTTGCATTTCATTTTATAAAGGTAAAATGAAGTGTAATGTAAAAGTGTAAAAGAAGTTTGCTGGGCTTGGGGTCAGAAATACAGCATTCAATTCTTACCACCATTACCTACTAACTATAAGAAGCTGAGCCTTTCGAATAATCTTTATGAGTCTCAAATTAGTCAAGAAATTAGGGATGCCAGGACTTGCCTACCTTGCTGAAGTGTTATTATGAAAATGACATAGAAACAGATGTTATCTAAAAGTACTTTATGAACCATAAAATAATATTTGAAATAAAATAATTATTTAAAAAAATGTTTTCCCAAGTCATTCCCAGTGGATCAAATAGAAAATAAGTAAACCAACAACAATACAAACAAATATAAAGATTCCCTTATATTGTGGTTAAGTCATTCTGAGCTCAGCACAAGGATGCTCTTCTCTGGGCAGGCCTTATTCTACTTCACAGCACCATCTGCTGGTGGAGTCGAAAAGGTGCAAACTCTGGCCAGCACCTGACCCAAAATTTGGTTAACAACTCAGATCTTTTTCTGTTCCAAAATGTGTCTTTCTTTCCTTCCTTCCTTTTTCCTTCCTTCTTCCCTTCTTTCCTTCCTTCTTTCTTTCTTTCTTTCTTTCTTTCTTTCTTTCTTTCTTTCTTTCTTTCTTTCTTTCTTTCTTTCTTTCTTTCTTTCTTTCTTTCTTTCTTTCTTTCTCTCTCTCTCTCTCTCTCTCTCTCTCTCTCTCTCTCTCTCTCTCTCTCTTTTTAAATGTTCACCTGAGGATATTTTTCCATTTATGTTCAGATAGAGTGGGAAGAGGGGGGATAGAGAGAGAGAAATATCCACTTGAGAGAGACACATCAATTGGTTGCCTCCCACATGACCCCAACCAGGGCCAGGGACAAACTGCAAGGAGATACATGCCCTTGACCGGAATCGACCTCGAGACCCTTTGGTTCCAGGGCCGACACTCTAACCACCAAGCCAAACCCTCCAGGGCTGTCTTCGTTTCTTAATCCCCATTTAGGTTGACTTTTTACAACATCATATTT